CTCAAGTGTTTATATATTTTCCTAATTGAGTTATTTCGGAAAGTTCCATCTTTCTTAGGACACCGTGTTCACATCCTCATTTTCAGGTCAAGAAACAGAAGCTCAGGGGGAGTCTCTGCAGGGAGACCAGACCCCTTGGTTTGCCTGGGACAGTCCGGGTTTGTGACTGGGGTGCTGGCATCATGTGTGGAGCACTCGTTTCACTCTCAGAAGCGCCCACATTTGGATCATAAATGATACGGTGACTCTAGGCCTACATGACCAGAATCCAGCTGAGTGGTGGCAAGCAAGGGTGGCCTCCAACCCATTGCTCTGACACCCTGATGAAACAGAAACACAAAGGGACAGAGGGAGATCTCACACACAGAGAAAATGAATTCACGTGGGTCTCTGTTCAAGGGGATCTGCCTGAGTCCTCCTGTAAGTGAGGAACCTTCTATGAAGCAAAGACGACTTGCCCGCCTCCCACCGGTGAACCCATTTTGTCCTGCATGATTTCTATACTATGGTTTTGTCTTAAAACATGACACCTATTTGAGAAAAGCAGGATGCAGAGGAGTGTACAGTATGTGCCATTTATGTTTCAAAAGAGGCAAGATTGATACACATCTATGAAAAAATACTACCAGAGGATGCACGAGAAGTTGATAACAGTGGTTGTCTCCGTCAAGGGGAACTGGGTGGCTCAGGGGCAGGGTTGGGGGAAGACTTTTTTTTTTGAGGAAGATTTGCCCTGAGCTAACTGCTGCCAATCCTCCTCTTTTTGCTGAGGAAGACTGGCCCTGAGCTAACATCCATGCCCATCTTCCTCCATTTTATATGTGGGATGCCTACCACAGCATGGCGTACAAAGCGGTGCCATGTCCGCACGTGGGATCCGAACCAGCGAACCCCGGGCAGCCAAAGCAGAATGTGCGCACTTAAGCGCTGAGCCACCAGGCCGGCCCCAAGGGGAAGACTTTTACAAAACACATTTTAAAAATCTCCTGATGATGCTTAGGCCTAGTGATGCAGCATCAATGCCTAAATTTTGCCTCAGAAACTCAAATTCCCCTTCCTTCTGGCCACCTCCTTGCAGCCCAGCTCTCCCACCAATCCATCTCCTGGACCCAGCTGAGGCCCTCCGACTCCAGGGTCCTGTCCTTCACATGTAGGCTGCCTTCTGGCTTTCAATCTTACCAGACAAGCGGTTTCAGCTTCTTTCACTTTCAGAGAAGACTCATTAGACCTTGTCATTCTCTCCTTAAGGTCTCTTGAAACATGAGGAAAAAATGATTCCCCACCAAAGCTGGATCGTCCCAGAGGCCTATTCTATGAAACTTCACTTCTCTTTCAGCAAACCACGTTTACGTCCAGAAGCTCATTTCATGATGCTCCTCTCAGGGTTGGAGGAAGAAACGGAAGCAGCTGCCCAAAGGCGCAGCCAGTTTATCTCCCCTAGGTGGCAGTTTTCTCCTTCTTTTTCTTGTGTCATTTCATCCTGACTGTCTATGCCTTGACTATTTGTTCTGGCTAAAGTTAATTGTGGCTGGATCTGAGTGTTAGGTTGATTTCAGCTTAAGATCTTAATTACAAAGGTGAGTAATTTTTGCCAACACCAACAGAGAGCTCATTCACCAGTTGAGGGGCTAAAATATTTACCACCGAAAGTGGCAGCGTCAGATTTTGGCCCATCATTGACTCAGCTGTCTTAACTGCTCACGTGTAAGGGGAGTTTGTGCACTATTTGGAGGACGGGTACAAGATCGCCCGGGTTATGAAACCTTGAGTTTTGAGGCAGTGGGCTGCCGCAGGAAGAGGTTGCACAAAAGTTCAGGGACGAGACTCCTACTGGGGCTCTACCATTGAGTGGCATACCTTTGGACAATTCACTTAAGTTTATCTCCTTTAATGGTTAAAATGGTAAATGTTATGTTATGTTTATTTCACCACAATAAAGAAAAAAGAGTTTATCTCCTCATTTGCCAGATCAGATTGTCAATCTGTAAGTTTCCTTCCAGGCCTGGAATTCTGTTTTGACTCTGCGACCTTAGTTAGGACAGTCCTAGAAAGACCTGGAATCTAGTTGGAAAATTGGGAATTAGTACTGGACAGCTCCTAAAATTGGGATTGTGTTTAGAAAAGAGGTAATTTGTGAATAAAATGTTTCCTCTTGCAAAGACTGAAAGGGATATCACTAATTTCCTGGTTTCACAGACTACATTTTTATTCATTTGTACCCCAAACTTCCTACCAGTATGATATCACAGCACGTGGAATCCCTGAACTTCACCAGAAGACCCAGGATTCAACTGTAAGTTTGAATGTGAAGGGTCAGCACAACTCCAAACATCATGACTGACATGCTCTGTGGGGGAAAATGCAAGGGCTGTTTGGGGGGATTTGCCTACATTTTGAAATGGAATGGCGCATTAAAAATTACTTGTTTTGGCGCTGGCCCAGTGGCACAGCGGCAAAGTTCACACATTCTGCTACAGCAGCCCGGGGTTTGCTGGTTCGGATCCCAGGTGCAGACTTAGGCACCGTTTGGCAAGCCATGCTGTGGCGGGCATCCCACATATGAAGTAGAGGAAGATGGGCACAGATGTTAGCTCAGGGCCAGTCTTCCTCAAAAAGGAAAATTACTTGTTAAATTTGAAACTAACCTTTTTAAGTAACTACCTCAGGAGCTTATTGCACTATGGTACTAATTATGCACCACTGGCACCTAACCTGCCAGAACTTCCTTATCTATAAAATAAGGTGGTTGCACTAAACCAATGGGTTTCAAATGGTGCCCTGTGGCTCCACGGGGGGCCTGAGGGCCTTCCTAAGGGCTCGCAAAACTCCAAGCCTCCACTCCCTGTTCCAAGCAGATCAGCGCAGCTTTCACCCATTTCTACATTGGGCTTCTGTATGAAGACCTCATGAAGAAAGGCTGCCTTCATTTAAACTGAAAAGCTTGGAAGCCACTGCACGAGGTCACCACTCAACTCCTTCCACTAAAACTCTTTGAAGCCATGCTCCCTGCCTGCCTCAGTTTCTCTAGCATGAACAGCAGCAGACTTCCTCAGGTGGGAATTTTACCTGAATAAAGTCCTTGTGTGAACAAGGAGATGAATCCCTAAGCTGAAGCTATTTGCCAGTAGCCGCTGGGCTCAAAAGAAGCCTCCCTTGGGCTCAATCATAGCTCCAAATAACTCAGGAAAGCACACGGGACGCCCGCACCCACAGCCGCAGCAGCACCATGCAGGGACGGGGCTCACCTGGGGGTGGAGGGAGGGCAGCCACTCTGCATTTGCAATCCAGTCCCAATCTGCAGGTAAACAGGAACAGAACATGAGGTAATCAAAACTTACATGTTCAGAGCGAGCCTAGGGGTTAAAGTTTGGCGCTCACCACCTGGGTGTCCCGGGTTCACTTTCCAGGTGGCGGAACCACACCACTCGTAGCCATGCTGCAGCGGCGGCTCACAAAGAACTAGAACGACTCACAGCTAGGATATACAAATATGCACTGGGGCTTTGGGGAGAAAGAAAAGACAACAGACGCTAGCTCAGGGTGACTCTTTCCCTGTCAAGAATAAAAAAAGTTTAAGTGTTCTTAGTTATCTCGGGGAATCCACAAAGTGGTTTCCTTGAGCACTTACAGTTGAATACATTACTTCACAACACCCCAGAGAACTGGGCACTGCCATTACCACCATTTCACTGGTGAGAAAACTGAAGGTTGAGAGGGCAAGGTAACTTTCCCCAGGTGAGTAAACGACAGAACCAGAAGTTTTTTAGTTGTATTCTTAAATTGTGAAGTATAACCTCATGGAATAAAACGTAAATGTAGACTATAATGAATAATCATAACGCAAACACCTACGTAAGCGCTACCCAAGTCAAAAAACAGAACACTGCTGGCACCCCAGAAACCACCCTCCCCTCCATCTTGGGTCCCTTCTCCATCCTGCCCCCCAGAAGTAAACACTGTCCTGACTTTTAAAAGTAATAACTTCCTTGCTTTTCTTTGGTTTTATCACCTATAGACGCACAAAGTCAGGATTTTTACTCAGGTCTGTGAAACTCCAAAGTCTATGCTCTTAACCTCGAGATAACACTTCCTCTTGTTCTATCAGTTACTGCAAGATGAGTTTAAATCTTTCATCAATTGTGGATTTGTCTGTTTCCCCTTTTAGATCTGCCAACGTCTGCTTTACGTACTTTGAGGCTGTTATTAGATACTCAAACTTAGAACTACTTTATCTTCCTTTTATCATGACGTCCTCTTGATCTCTAATAATGATTCTTAAGGTCTCATTCATCTAATATTAATAATGCTACACCAGCTTTCTCTGGATCGTCTTCCAAGGTATCTTTTTCCATCCTTTTTTTTGAGGAAGATTAGCCCAGATCTAACATCTGCCGTCAATCCCCCTCTTTTTGCTGAGAAAGATTGGCCCTGAACTAACAAACGTGCTCATCGTCCTCTATTTTTTAATATGTGGGACACCTGCCACAGCATGGCTTGATAAGCAGTGCGTAGGTCGGCACCCAGGATCCAAACCAGTGAACCCTGGGCCACCGAAGCAGAACATGCAAACTTAACTGCTACACCACTGGGCCGGCCCCTTTGCATCCTTTTTCTGCCTCAATAACAGACCTGGAGCATCTTTCTACTGTATATTTTTGTGGCTTCTTGACCTATTTGCAAAGTCACTGATACTTTTTAGTTCTGAAACACAGGACTAGGAAAAGAAGAAAAAAAAAGAAAACAGAGATGATGAATCTAAGCCCTACGTCAAGCCTCCAGACTGGTGTGCACTCGCCTAAGGCAGCAGGTATTTCTGCGTGAAGAAAAGTTTCAGCTGGGTTTCAATAAATTAGCACAACCCATCAACATAATGCTCATGCACGTCAGCTATGCCTAGCGGACCCAATTAGAAAGTTGTTTATTCACAAATATTCATTGCATAAGCACACTGGACTATACTGTATAAATTAGTCATATAAATATACATGGTACTACAATCATTTCAAGTCAAACTATTTTATTGTCCAAGAGATTCTGTGGTCACAGGAGGCCCATTCTCAACGGCAGGCGGCAGGGAGGCGCCCGAGTCCTCACTCCTCAGCACTCTGCGTGCTGACATAGTCCTGGAGAAGCGCCTGCACCTCTAACCGCCGGCTCATCTTGGTGGCCTTGCCCTGAAAGCGGCCTTTCTTCCCTGCTCCTTTGCCTTCCAGGATCTCAGCCACCCTGGGGAGCAGAGAAAGAGTCAGGGAGAAGGTCTTTGTGAGAGAAACCACAGAAAATCCAAGGGCAGCCTTGAGTCCTTCCCCAAGGGCTGAGGGGCGGTAGAGGAAGAGTAGATGGCTTCTAGAAATCCTTCCTAAAAATATCTGCATGTGTGCACAAAGTTATATATACTATGCTTATTGTAAAAGTAAATAACTGGAAACAACAGAAGTGTCTAGAAATGGGTTTGGAACCCTCCAGGGAGCAGGGTCAGTGCACACTAGGAGTAGGGGGCTGTGGACATAACCCCTTTGGGGAGCAGCAGTGAAGGAAGCTGGGGGTGACTGAGAAGGTGGGACTCTGCAACCTGGACGAGCCCGTCCTGTCTGAAGAGCGTGGCCACTGCTCAGTTCCTTGAAGCTACTACCATGTGGGAATGTGTCAAAATTAGATGCTAATTTTGAAAATTTAACAGAGTACACAGCCCAAACCACTCAACAGCCCACATCTGGCTGCCTCTGCTTTAAACGTTATGTTTTCCTTCAATGTCTCACAATGAATACAGATGCATCAGAGCCAATCAGGACTTTGAAAACCCTAAAAGCCAGAAAGAATACAGGGCAATACACCTCCATATCTAATTTAAAATAATGAAATATAAACAATACAAGGAAAAAGTAGTTCAACAAAGTTCTGACTTTTCCATAACAACTACATCAATGCCTTTTTTGATTTAGTCCCCAAATCCTAATTTTTCTTCCCCAGAGAGTTTGTCTGTGCCTCTGCTTTGCTGGTGCCTTCAGCATATGCTTCACCTGCCTACTGATAATCCAGCACCTGTATTCATGTATGTCCTAAGAATCTCAATTTCTAAAAGAAAAAGCAGAAAGCACATGAGATCTGGAGCCAAAAGACCTGGGTTTGAGTCTCGGTTCTGCCACTTTAACTGTGAGCTCTCAGGCACGTGACGTGCCATCTCTCATCTGTAAAACTGGGAATGATGATGGTGACAATTGTTTCTGCTCAGCCCATCTCACGTGCCTGTTACGTGAATCCAAATGAGATGGCAGATGTGGTGGCCCTTCTCATTGGTAAAGGGCTATATTGGTAGGTTAGGCTTAGAGACTCTCCTACCCATGCAAAGCAGTCCACAGAAGATTACCTGGGCCCCAGGGTCTCCACAGCCTCAGCCGGCCCTGCCAGTAGGAAGAGTCCAGCACCTTTCTCATCGCCCACAGTTAAGAACAGGAAGGTCTCCTAGGAGGCAAGACAAGCAGATGAGCCCCAATACTTAAGGATGTGGGTCAGGCCTCCAACTCTGCACTCTCATCAGTCTCAAGAACAGATTTTCTTTTTTATCATATTGCAATATATAAATAGAGCAAATCAACATATCGTACACCTTATACTTACACAATGTCATAAGTCAATTATATCTCAACTCAAAAAAAAGAACAGATTTTTCCCCCTAAACCACAAGCGAGGTTTCTGATGAGCAATATTGTAGCCCCTCCACTCTGGCCCATGAGGGCCAAGAAACCCTTTTGAGAGTGACTATAGGAAACTTAGGTTGAACAGTAAGGAGGCGGCAGAAGGCTGCTGACCATGACCAACCATAAAATGCCTTCAGGGATCTAACTCCTGCCAACTTTTGCAGCCTGGCCACCACCCTCCCCCGACGCACCCTGTGCCTGCCATTGACGAAACCTGGTTCCCTCCGCCTGGCCACGTTTGCTCCCTTGTCTGTCAATGACCACTAAGCAGTCTTCAAGGCCCCTCCCCTGAAGCCTCCCCACCCTTTCAGCTAATGTGCTCCTGCGCCTCTAGCATTTATCACCCTAAATTGAACATGTCTCTGCACTTGTTTGTCTCCCAGACTAGAGTGAGCTCCTCGAGAATCAGTACTCTCTACACAGAAGAAGTGAAGAAAAACGGACACACTCCTTGGCCCAGTGCAGGTATGCCGAAAAGTGTTTTTGGAGTAAATGTGAAAGACAGACCTGGAAATCACTAAGCTCTGGACTATCAGGACAGGAAGGGGCAGATGAAGCCAGAGGCAAAGGAAAATGGAAGGGATGGCCTTCAAAGGGCCTAGCCTACCCCTGCATTTCTAAAATCAGGCCCTCAGCACACATAAATGTGAGTGGTTTGGAGAAGTTCCAGCTCTTGATGAAACTAGCTCAGAAGCTGGTAAATGTCACAGCCCCAGAAGGAGCAGTACCATAGACCCCGCCTGGCACCTAAAACAGAGCTTGGCTGGCACCCTACTCTTCATGTATTCATGTGGAGGGACTTCAGCTAATCTAATGCCCCCTACTTAGGTCTCTACCCAGGGTGGACAAAGAATCTCACGCTCCTCTTACCTCTGACCCAATCTCATTGGCAATGATATTCATGAACTCAGAATCACCCTCCTTCCTAAAACAAAGGACACAGACGTGAGATCCAGGTTGGAGTGTGAGCTGGGAAACAAGAAGCCCAGCTCCTCCTGAGGCTGGCTTCACTGCTGCCTGCTTGTGCAAAGTGCCAGACCCCCTTAGAAAGAAAGAGAAAAACTGCTAGCTGAGGGCCAGCAGGACGGCCTTCTCAGCCTTAGTAGTTTAAAACAAGATTTGTATTTGTTTCTGTCTCCCTTAAATAGGATTCACCCAGATAAGTGGAGATCTATTAGATGGTGAAGAAGGTAAGGAAAGGTGCTAATGAAAGTTACAGTGTTGTAGTGAAGATGTTTAGATCAAACCTAGGAAACCTGGTAGGTAAAACATTTCTCAGGGTCTGTTTAGCATTGAGAGTACCAATGAGCGACCGGCCTCCCACCACGCACTGCACACAGGGGAGAGGCTGAGCCCTAAGCCCAAGGCCCTCTGCTTTGTCTCTCACCTGTGTAATGCAACCACACCTCCCCAGTCTGGGCTGTTCCTGAGGCTGTGAGCAACATGCACAGCCAGGTCTCTGAGCAGATTCAGGTTGCTCTGAAATGGATGACATAACAGGTAGAAAGGATAACAAGCAGGAGCACTACCTTCCCTCTGCTTCATTCTCCCTCACTCCTCCTCTGACAAACCACACATCTGGTTAGGCAGAGGGGCTGAGTCTGGGGAGCCCATTCCAGGCAGAGCCCAGGCCCACTCCACCCTCCATGGAATCAATCACCTTCTGCAGGAGCTTGGTGGAGTTCTGTAGCTTTTTCACTGCTTCCACATGATCCTCTGCTCCACACCTGCAAGAGAGGTTTGTGGAGACCTGCCCAGTTTCCCAACTGCCTTTGGCGTTAGACATAAATCAATGATGCCCTTCTCAAGAGTTTGTCTTCCTCCAGATGCGGACCTGGGGACAAGGAGGCCTCGCAGGCAAATGAGGGGAGAGGATAAAAAGGAATAAACCATTTTGTGTGCATCCGATTTACAAAGCAAAGTGCTTTATCATTTATGATTGCATCTTACCCCCCTGAGATGATTCTGTCTACATTAGGGGTAGGAGAGCTAAGCTCCGGGGCGCCCTGGCTCTGAGAAACAGGAGCCACAGAAGGGGGCATACTTAAGCAGAGAGGTCAGTGCTTTTTCAGTCCCATGACTTCTCTCCATCCACTTAAGCACTCGGTTCCCAGCCAGAAATATCAGGTTGGTTTTGTTCTTTTTCCCCTTCTCAGTGCCCAGAATTTTAATGACCTAGATGAGGCAAGCGGGTAACACACATGCATAAACCACAGTGGGTGCTGGGCCTGAGGGTAGGAGACACCTAGACCTCCCCCAGCTCTGAAGCAATAAAGGAGTGATTCGCTTAGGACTCAAGTGTCCTCCTCTATCACTCCCAGCCTGTCGTGATCCCGCACTCCCCCGACACTCCCTCTCCCACCATTCAACAGCCCTTCTCACCTACCTGAAGGTCACTGAGATTGCTCACGTGGGTCCCACAGCACATGTTGGAATCAACACCCTTGATGGTAACAACTCGAATGGGCCCAGCATGATCGTCCGGCAGACCCCGGCCCCTCACCTGGAACACAGGGGAGGGAGAAGGGCTGTCTGAATTTTGATGAGGCGCCCTCAGAGGGCCATTCTACAGAGGCCACCCTGCTGGCTCTCCCTCACCTGCTCCACCTCAGGATCATCCAGGCTCAGTTCTCGCACATTCACGGGCAGCCGATCTCTGATTTTTTCATTGACACTTTGCTCGATGGCAGCTACTTGCTCTGTAGTTACAGAGGGGCTATCCAGCTCAATCACACTCCGGAGTCGCCCTAACTCCCTGCCAGAAGAAGTAGGTGGTCACAGGATGCTGATGATGACAATAACAACAATATAGGAAAGTTTACAGTTTACAAAGAATGTTTGTGTAAATGCCGTTAGTTAATCCTCCCCAAAATCTTGTAAACTAGGGATTGCTAGTCCCATTTCACAGGTGAGGGGCATGAAAGAATGTGATCAAGGTCATGCAGCCAGGATTCACCCCTAGGTGTTTGGGCTCCAAATTCCATGTTCTTTCCTAATCAAAGGCAGATGTCTTCTCTCATCCTTGCGTTCCCCCTAACAAACACAAGGTCACCCACCACCCCATCTTCAAGGGGAACAGGACAACACAGCAGATTTTGAATACTACTCTTTCTTTTATCCTCCTCCTCCCTGACCCATGCCTGGGAGAGGAGATGGTAGTCAGAGACCCATGCCCTGTGGTTAGTCTTATGCCTCCTGCTCACCATGATGTTGTCTTTAGCCCAAACAGATGGTCGGCAACTGCTGTAATAAGATGCTGCCCTGAGCAGAGAGAGCAAGAGACAGAGTGAGAAGCCTACAGTCACACGCTCCCTCAGTGATATCATCACAGAAATTCTCCTTGTTGAAGACCTGCCAGGCACTGGGTAATACTCTTGAGACATACTTCATTGAAAAACCTCACAAGAATTCTGCAAGAGGCTTTGTGATGCCATTTCACAAATGATCTACTACAGAGGTCCAGGGGAATGACAAGGAGAGCTGGGACGGGGATGACTGCGTTGACAGTGGAAGGAAGTGGAGAGATATTCAGAAGATAAACCGACAGGACTCAGTGATCCACTGACTTCCAGGATTTCAGCAACTGGGTGGTTGCTAACGGAAGATCAGGTGTAGGGGAGGCGGTGGCTTCTTAACTCTGTTTTGGATATTTTGAGTTTAAACAGCCTATGAGACATCCAGATAAAGATATCAAGTGGGAAGTGCGTAATACTCAATCCAGCAGTCATTCTAATAAATTTCCTTTAATTGTTCATATTGCTTCTATAACACTTATCATATCCTGCGTGAATCAGAGCTGATTCTGAATACGTCCATCTCTTCCAAAGGGTTCACTCCTAGAGAACCCAAACCACATCTCAACCATCATGGCATCCCCATACTTGGCAAGTGCCCCTTCTGTATGTCCCCCATCCCACCCTACCTACCTGAATGCTGCTGCATGTGGTCAAACCTCCGCTCCCAGTCCACCCGGACCTGGACCTCACTCCCAGGGGTCAGGGGTGTCTGTGTGAAATGATCAGCCTGAGCCCCCCGGCGGGTCACTCTCAGCACAGGGACACCATCAATTGTACCATGGTCATCAGGCTGAGGGAAAGAAGTAAAGGAAATCAGTAGTGGGAGGCAGGGCTCACCCTAGCTCCTGGATACAAAGACCCCTAGGCAAAGTATGTGAGAAACAGACTTAGAATTTAAGATTCCCTAAAGGACAAGAGGCAATGCCAAGTGAGATGGGTCCACTTTGTTCCATGAAGGGACTGTCTCTGTCCTCTCCACTGTGAACATCTGTATGTTTCGTTCTTCAGAACAGAATTAAAACACAGATTGTAACTACAGCAAGGACGATTTCAGTAAAACTCAAAGAACCTTAATCCTCTCTCACTGCCTTACTTTACATTCTTATCTTTCAGTAGTCTCTAAAATGACTGAATTTTCCTCCCTCCCTCCACTCCATCCTCTGCACTACTACTAGAATTGGATTCCAAAATACTCATTCATTTAAAAAAGTATCAAGTGCCAACTGCTTACAAGACAGTGTGTCAGCCTAAGAATACAATGTAGACAAGACAGGGTCCCTCAAGGAACTAAGAGCCTGGAGAAGAATACAGACAGGTAAACAGATAACTGCAACATGATCTACAACAGGCTATAATGTGCAAAAGTGCACTGTTCTAGAGGAGCTCAAAGGAAAGAGACCCAACAGTCTTGGGGAATCAGGGAAGACTTCTTGAAAGAAGTGATGTCTAAAATGCGAACTTCTATGGACACCTCAGGGCACAGATTTTCCTTCAGCAGATCAGGAAACCTCTATGTTGGGAAAATCACTGAAATAATGACAAGTGGTATGAAATAGGGACTTTCTCACTATCAAGTTTATTGAACGTGTTTTCTCATGTCATTTCTTTGCCTAAGTACTTCCATGGCTCATCACAGCTTTCTGAATGAAGTCCACACACCTTAACACATCCTTCAAGGACCTCTGAACTGACCCATACTTACCTTTTCAAGGTCATCTCCAGCCTGTCATCAACATGCACCACAGGCTCCAACTATATGGGACTATTTGCAGTTACCCAGACACATCAGATTGCCTCAGGCTTCCCTGCCTTTGTTTGTGCTATTATCTCTGCTGGAAAGGGCTCTCCTATAATGCCCACCTTTGGGGTTGTTATCCTCCCCTTCCATGTTCACACCCTACTCTGTCATAGCACTGATAAGTCTGCCCTCTGTTGTGCTATTGTAACCCATCTAACACACTTGAACTCTCTCAGAGGAATCTTTTTCAGTCCCTGCCAAACATCCTAATTCCTACCTCAGGGCCGTTGCACTCGCCATTCTCTCTGTCGGGAATACCTCCCCCTTCCCTGCCAGTACCACCAGATAACTGCAATGGCTCCCCCCCCTACTTCACTTACATCTCTACTGAAACAACTTGCCCCCTACTAGGAGAGCATCTCATCACTCTCTTTCCCTCAAGCTTTATTTTTCTTTACAATACTTATACCTAGCATACTATTTCTTTATCTCTTCAGGGTTTTGTCTGTCTTCTCCAATAAACATTTCATATATGAAGAGACACTGTCTTGTTCACCCCTTATCCTTGGAACCTGGAACAGTACCTAACATACGTTACAGCCAGATAACTACTTGTTGATAAACACTTGATGGATGACCAATCGAGCTGAACTGAACATCTGTATTTATTATGGCTGAGGCAGAGGCGCAGGAGAGCATTTTCCACCTGAGCATGAAAGACTTAGTAGCTTCCTGGGGAGGTCGGGCTGAGGAACGGGCCTGGTACCTGCCCCCCGCCCTCGGGGAAAAGCAGCGTGTCTTCCAGCACCACTTGGAAACCGCTCAGCACCTCCTTCTTGCCGTTGCTTCCTTCTGTCTGCAGCTCCGCGGGACGGCAGGAGACCACGGTGGTGGCGAACTGGGCAGAGGGAGGAGAGAATAAAGCCCGCCCCGCGCCCTCAGTACGCCGGGACTGAACCTAGCTCGGCGCTCCCTCCATGCGGCGCCCTTCTCCCGCACCGCCCCGCCCCGCCCCGCCCCAGTGCTCGCAGCCGCAGGTCCCGCGCCCAGCCGGCCGCACCTCCCGGGCGTAGCTGTCCCGCTGACACCGGAACGCCATCGCTGCCGTCTCCCCGACGCCGGGAGCGGCGCGCGCCGGCGCGCCTGGAGCGGACGGAGAGCCACGCGGGACAATCTTCAGTACGGGCCCGCCTCTGCGCAGACGCAAGAGGGTGAAGGATGGGGTGTGGTTTGGACAAATTTATTGAAAACGCGATTTGCAGGCTTTTCGGGGTTTCTAGCAGTTGTTTTAAGACTTTGAAAAGCACCAGAACACAAAACAGAACAACACTTCGGCCTGAATTTGTCAAAGCATTCGTTTAGCCCCGTTGGGCCCCAGGGATGTGTGTAATTCGGCCCCGCGGAATCCCAGCTAGGTGGCAATGGGAATGGTACTAGCCTGGATACACAGCTGCGCAACCCAATAGAAATGTAATGCAAGCCACATGTTAATAATATATTTTATTTAAATCAATATATCCAGAATATTGTTTTATCATGTAATGGGTATTTAAACATAAGTGAGGTATTTTTTTCCGTGCAAAATTTTTGAAACCTGGTGTGGATTTTACACTTACAGCACATCTGTTTGCACCAGGCACATTTCAAGTACTACTCAATAACCACATATGACTAGTGCTACCGAACTGGAAAGTGTAGATAAAAAGGTCAACAGAAGTTAACGACAGAAGTGAACAAACTGCAATCAGTGCCTTAAAACGTTAAACGGACTAAAAGTAAAAATTAACTTTCTGCTCTTTTAAACCAACTAATAAAAAGCTTGAAGAATCCAGATGTTTCAGAATTTAGAATTTCTCAAATTTTAGGCAGTAATGCAGAGCATACCCCATGTGTTATGTAAAACGCTCTATTTGGAACTCTGGAACAACACCATGTAATCAAAGGCATGAATATTTATGCTGAGGAATAAGCACACTAAATGGAATAAACAAAGACTATAAATAACCTCACATCATTTTAGGTCAGGTTTTGCTGTCGAATGAGTTTTGGCGTCAATTTTTTTTTTTTAAGTTGGTTTTCAGAACTTGTCAGTTTTCAGAATTGTGGATAAGGGGACATATGCTATACAAGTTCAAATCCCAGCTCTGCCACTTATTGTGACCTGTTTGATCACCTATGAAGAAAAGACCTACTTATTTTATAAGGTTTATATGAGGTTCAAAATTTTAAATGAGATAATATATAAATACTTAGTAAATTGTAAAGCATGATACAAATATAGCTTTGTAGGGGCCAGCCCTGTGGCGGAGTGGTTAAGATGGGGTGCTCTGCTTCAGTGGCCCAGGGTTTTGCCAGTTCGGATCCTGAGTGTGGACATGGCACTGCTCCTCAAGCCATGCTGAGGCAGCATCCCACATGCCACAACTAGAAGGACTCACAACTAAAAATATACGACTATGTACCAGGAGGCTTTGGGGAGAAAAGGGAAAAAAATAAAATCTTTAAAAATATAGCTTTGTATTATCAGTTTTTTAAAAAGTTTAAAAACTAATGTCAATAGCAAAATGGGCAAAAGACATGGACAGAGCATACTAAAAGAAATATAAATCACTAATAAAAATAAACAATTTGCAATCTCCTAATTAAAAGCAAATTAAACCAGGTAAAATTTTTTTATCTTGGCAAATATCTAAAAAGCTTTGGAAAATGGAGCACTCTCAGTGGTAGGAGCGAGAATTGGTGCAATTTCGTCTAAGAGCATCTTGGCAACAGTTTTCAAAATGCTTAAAAGGGGTCAGCCTGGTTAAGTTCACAGGGTCTGCTTCAACAGCAGGGGTTCACAGGTTAGGATCCCGGGCGTGGACCTATACACTGCTCAACAAGCCATGCTGTGGTGGTGTCCCAAATACAAAATAGAGAAAGATTGGCACAGACGTTAGCCCAGGAAGAACATTCCTCAGCAAAAAAAAAAAAAGAACAAGTTTAAAAGTATCTACTCTTTGACCTAGCAATTCCACTTCCAGAAATTTATCTTATAGATATTCTTGCCAAATATGTAAAGATCTACATTTTAAAATGTTCATTGTAACATTGTTTGAAAATTTAAAAAGACTAACAACGACCTAAATGTCCCTCAATAAGGAACCAGTTAAATTATGGGAAATGTATTAAACTGAATACCATGTAGCCATGAAAAAGAGTTAGATCTATGTACTCTGATTTGGAGAGTTCCAATATTTATTAAGTGAACAAAAGCAGAGTGCAAGATGTACATAGTATGATTCCAATTGTGTACACACATGCTGCATTTGCTTATATATGTATTAAATTTTAATATATATTATACTGTATATAAATACATGATACTGCATATGTTTATGTTCCATATATGTTGTATATTGTTTTATATGTTATATATAACTATATAATTAAATTTTTTTTTTAAGATTGGCACCTGAGCTAACAATTGTTGCCAATGTTTTTTTTTTTTCTGCTTTTTCTCCCCAAATCTCCCCAGTACACAGCTGTATACCTTAGTTGTGGTTCCTTCCAGTTGTGGCATGTGGGATGCCACCTCAGCATGGCCTGATGAGCGGTGCCATGTCCACGCCCAAGATCCGAACCGGTGAAACCCTGGGCCGCTGAAGCGGAGCCCACGAACTTAACCACTTGGCCACGGGGCTGACCCCCTATATAATTATCTAATTATAGGTATTATGGAATTTATAACGTGTAGTGTATATACATATATAGATACATAAATTTATTGTAGAAACTGTTAACATTGCTTACCCTCATTGAGTGTAAATTCCACTTTACATTTTATACATTTTGATACTGTTTTACTTTTTTAAACTATGTCCATATATTACTGATAGAGATTTTAGAGTTTAATTTTTTAAGAATCTCAGTACTTTACTGTGCGTTCCAGGGTCTAGGTACTGCACTGTGTTTAAGTCACAGTTCAAGTACACATTAGGCACTCCAAAAATGTTGTGGATGAATGGAGTAGCTGATGGATGGAGGAATAAACAGACATGGTCATTAACTACTGTAACAATCAGCTTTAAAAGTATAAAGAGATTTCGGAAGCGTGTAGGAAGCTGAGGTGGGTTTCCGCCTGTTTCTAAGGGTCTTAGAATTAGCCATATAGTGAAAGGCTGGTTTCTGCTCTGAGAAATCAAAGCATAGAGCTGGGCATGGGGAAGTCCCCCGGCTTGGTTACAAGCCTGCTCCCAACATCTTCCTTTTTCCAGTTTCAACAATGAGGGCCAGGATCTGTGACACCCACCTCTCCCCTGAAAGGAACTATAGAGGGAGAAGAGGTTTGCCTTCAGGAGGAAGAAGTACAAGAAGGAAAGAGAGAACAGTTCCTAGAGATTTATTATAATCTATATGCTTCTTTGCCTTTTGCTCTGCCACATACACACACCTGCTCAAACACTCAAGAGAGCCCTGATGAGCGGCCCAAACACAGAGAATATAGTCAATTGGTAGGAATTCAGAAGCCCCACCAGTCTACTCCTCTCGTATCCTGCCATCTGATGTAGCAGCCATAGTCAAGTGCCTAGGAGAAGAAATAAAGCTTGAGGGAGGACCATTAATAAAGAGCTTCTAGGAAAGCTCAGAGATTCCAAAGGACCATGGCGCACAGCCAGAGAACTGACAAAGGCCTAGGCCCTAGCTTGTCAGAGTGACTGGAAGATAGCCACAGCTTCCTCCCCAGCTCTACTGTCACAGGAGGTTAATTACTTGTTGCGTCGGCACTGTCAGAATCATCCTAGGAAAAAAAAAGACAAAAGCAACTGTAGAGTCTTCAAAGAGTGAACATTTGTGTTCACAAACGCTACTCACTCCCTCCTGCTCTTCAAGTTTTCCTTTATGATTTTCTGAATCACATAACTTCTTGGGAGGCTAATACAAAAAGATTTAAACTTTGGAAAATAAAATAAACCACTGGTACTCAATAAACAGCACTGTGTCATGCACCATTTAGTTTCAGAATTTCAACCAACGCTACTGCTCCTTACAGCTGTAAAGATAGTCAACAGGGCCAGATCTGCTCTAGGAGGAAGAAGCAGAGGGGGAGAAGGAAGGGAGGAGAGTCTTGCTGGGGTTTTCTAAAGCCTGGAGAAGAACATTCAACCTCCTGTATCAAATTCAAATTCATCTAACATGCACTGAGAAGTGCCGTGTGCTAGAGATACAGGAGCTTTTTAGTATCTTATTTTTTAAAGCTAAAGGAAACTGACGGCTTGAGGGGTAGGCTTTACTTACATCCAGGTCATCCATGGCTGGGGGAGGTTTCTTGGTGCTGACCTTCTTCAAAAGCTAGTGGGAAGAGAAAAGTAGTCACAGAGATAAGAGGGGTGAGGGAAGACCAACCTGCATATTCACAGACCACAGGAGAATGGTCCCAGCCAGACAACTGCCTTGTCTTTAAAATCCCTACCACATCACTGGGACGAGTTGGAGAAAAGTAAATTTATCTCCTTTTAAAAGGAAATTTAAACACACACAAAGCACCCTCCTTACTAATCCAGGTTAGGGTCTGTTAGTGTTTTGCAACTTGCATAAATAGTAGCTGAAATTCTGAAACCAAATAATGTATGGCAGGGTGTAATTTATTGGGAGCTACTGATTTATTTTATGATGTGAATTTTTATACTGCTTAGTTTGAGCTTCCCATGAAGTTGTCTGGCTTGCGAAACACACACTCACGTGCGCACGTGCATACACACACACACACAAAGAAAACAGAAGAGAGAACAAGAATTACAGAAAAGTAGTAAAAGGTTTTGTCAAACTTTTTCAGAACACAGGCTCTACTCGGTGAATAGTGAGTGAATCTATGTATACAATTTCATTAACAGAATATTCATTTCTCTCCTCCCTACTAAGTAAACATTGTACAAAATATGTAAAGACTATCAGCACCAGTGAGTAGGCTGCCTGGGGAGCTCATATATCTCTGCCTAGCCCTGATGACAATCCTCCAGAGAAATGTGTGCAGAGAGAGACACAGAAAATGATCAAGATGGGCAGACTATGGCATTACCTCTGCGTAATGTTCCACCTGAGCCAGCTCCACCTCTTCATCCCCTTCCCAGTCTCTCCAGTTATCAAAGTCCACAGACAACCACACTGGCTGCAAGAGGAAAGCATGGAGAGTCATAGCAGCAGGAGAAGAGCATAAAAAATGCGGACGCGTGCA